CGTCTTCAGATCGCACAGCCCGGTCCACAACGCGCAGACCGCCCACTTCTCGCGGTTCTCGGCCTGGTGGATCGGCGAGAGCCCGATGCGGAGCTGGGTGCTGAAGTAGAAGAGCTGGCTCTCCACGAACTGATCAATTTGAAGGCGCTGGAGAAGAAGCCCGAGCGGGGGGAACTGCCGGAGCCGCCATTCCAGCTCCGAGTGCTGCTCGACCTTGCGCGGCTTCATCCAGCGCGCCGCGGCGGCCTCCCAGGCCTTGAACCCCCCTCCTTCCCCCCCCGCCGGGCTCGGCGGGGAGCCGTTGGAATCCTTCTCGGTGGCCCGATCGCCCGGCAGGAATCGCGCGCTCCCTGCGGTCAACGTCCAGACCGGCGGCGGCCCCCCCCCTGCATCCCCGCGGAGGAATTATTATTATTATTAGTAGTAGTAGTAGTAGTATGAGTGAGCGGCGGTGGATTAAACCCCCCTGGGGGGGCCGAACTCGCGGGCTTGGCCCCTCGCGCCGGGGCGGCGGCGCGGCTGTAGGGCAGGAGATAACTCGTGCACAACACACTGCCCAGGACCGTGGCCAACAAATACCCGTGCGCGGCGCTTTCCCCCAACACCGCCCCCAACCGCGCGGCGTGGCGTTCGATCAGTTGAATTAATTCGCCTTCCGCCGGGGATAATTTCGCGGTTGTCCGACGAGAAAACTCCGGGGACGCGCCCCCCGCGGCGGGCGTCTCCCAGCGATTCAAAAAATACCCCTCCGCGGCCGGGCTGAGGGGGCTGCGGGGGGAAATCTGGCGAAAACACGCCTGCCACTCATCCATAAACCGGTGGAAGATCGTCAGCAGAAGAAAGGTCGTGCCGGGGGCCTGGGAGACGATGTGGGGGGTGTTCGACTTGAACAACACTGCGGCTCGGCGAAAGCGGGTTCGGGCGATGCCGTCGTGGAGCAACCCCGGGGAAAGGCTCTCCCACGCCCGCAAGGCCTCGAACTTCACGCGCTGGGCAAGCGATCGGCCGGCAGGAATCGCATAATCCGCATCGGCAGGCCCCTCTTCCGAATCAAAGAGGGTCCGCCCTGTGGAAACGGCGTCTTTTGACGGGGTTGTCGAGGCCACCCCCACAGTCTCCTTCGTTTTGTCGGAATACGGATGGTTCAAAGTGGAAATGACCTCCTCTTCCTCATCGCTGATGGCGCTGGCGAGGTGGGCCATCGCTGCCGCCTTGCAGGATTCGAAAAAGTGCTCCCAGGCGGGCAAATCCCCCGCCACGTTGTTCCGCGCCGAGAGCTGCTGGAGGAAAATGATCAAAAACCCATACCAAATTTGCCTAACCGGGTCTTTGAGCCGCTTTTGGAGGGCCTCGTCGTCCTTTTCGTTCGCCAGCGCCTTCGGGAGGATGCCGGTTAGCATAAAGATCGCCATGGCTACGGCCCGAGCCGCATAACCGACCCCCGCGGACACCGCCGACGAGGCCGCCGAGGCCGTTGAGGTCGCCGCGGTCGATGAAACGGGTTCGGGATTACAAAGAACATCACCCTTGGTGGGGGTAATCCCATTATTTTTAGAGTTAGTGTTATCGGGTTTGTTAGGAATGTAAGCAAAAAGGTTTCCCCCAGGGCTGGAACTCGCAAACGTGGACGTTATCATCGAAGTGCACAATAAAACTATGAATTGCTCCAGGGCCGTGCGGTGGTAAGCTACGGGAGGCGGAAGATTAGACTCGGAATATTCACAAGAACGGTTTTCACTTCCTATGTTCTCTCCTTCGGAAATAAGATAATAGCGTATAGATTTCTCAAACTCAACGTCACCAAGAAAGCCTGGCCTCAAACGAGGCGCTAAAAGGTTGTCGGCTGCTGCTCTATAAAGATTTAACCATTTTTCATGCGATGTTTTGGTCGATTCGGAAATGGAAACCGCAGAGGGAGATCCAATCAACGTAATAAAAGCCTTAGCCAGGCTTAACGCACACTTCTCAATCTGAATCTCAACGTCGTCGGCGTTTGATTGAGGAGATTTATACTCTAAAAGGACTGAAATATCACCATTTTCTCTATTAGTGATAGAAAAGTTGTCCTTGGTATTGGTAGCATTGCTTTGTATGGTTAAATCAGTAGTATGATGATCTCCACTGATTGATGTAGAGGAAGTTGACGAGGAGGATCGCGAAAGAAGTGGCCATAGCTTTGGAAATACGGTATCTCGGAAGAGTTGATTAACCTGCTGCGCTGGAGTGAGCTTGGACGATTCTTTGAAAGGCATGCTGAGATCAAAAACCCTTGGAAAGGAAGAAGAAATAAATATCCAACCTGGTCCCTTCTTCTTTTCGTTTTAGTAAATAAGTTTCAGGATGTAATAGGTTTCTAAATGTAGTTTTATGGAAATGAAAAAAGAGAAAGGGGTGTAAAATAAGTTGTTTCATCGTCACAGAATATCACGATACCATTAAAAGGGAAATAAAAATAGATGACTTCAGTTGTTTATTTTTACTCATTAAAATGATAAAGCTTAATATTAGCCTGCACATTATCTTAATCGATTGACAAATTAATGGAATAGGTAATCTGTTAATTTAATCCATCATAGAAAACATTTTCTTTCATTTCCTTCTTTTTGTTAATGTGCACCAGTCAGAAAGAAGAAAATCATTTTCAGCATCGCGTTGGTAAGGTGTTTGATATTCGTTTCCTTCGTTATGTCGCGTCTTTCGCTCTTTATTACTTGCTTTTTTTCTTATTATTGAAATAGCGATTTCATGACGAGTTCATTGCGCCCGCTGTCCTCATATCCTTGAGCCATCAAAAACCCTACAATTTTCGGCCGAGGCTCGAAACTCAGTGATTTTCCTTTTGTCAGTCGATGAAAACCTTTTTTCGCGGGCTCCTTCCCGATATTTTGGGTCTTGGTCAAATCGAGAAGCTGCTGTTTGAGCTGATTCGCGGTGAACCCACCACGCCGGATCAACTCCCGCAAAAAATCGGAATCGTCGTAGATTTCCTCGTCTAAATCGCCTTCCGCGATCGCCATCGCGCGCTTTGCCTTCGCCGCGAGATGACTATCCATCTCCGACGACGAAGCAGGGGAAGCCTCGGGAGGTTCCAAACGCGCCCGGACGTGTGCAGGGTGAGCTAAAATCGGCAAATGGGAGGCATTCTTCTGCACGCGTAATCGAAGACGGGATCGCGCGGAAAGAATCCCGTCGATTTGCTTAATCGGGGGCTGCGAAATCACCTTGAGCTTTGCGCTGTTCGCCTGGACAAATTTATCCCCCCAAAAGCGCACGCATTCCCGCGCGTTCCGGATGACCACCTCATGGCGTTGGTGGAGTTGCGCAAAGGAGGGAGCCTGCAGGTTGGAGAAGTCCGTGGTGGGTCTTTTCTTCGTCTTCATCAATGTATCATTGCCGATTTGATAAAACATTGCCAAAATCGTTCGAATTTCGGTGCCTAACGCCATATAAGCCTTCTTGATCGCCTCGGTGTTAATATTGGCACTTTTCAACCCCCCTTCCAGGGCTTCTTCCTCCCCTTCCCCGGAGGTCGCCGCGGCGGCGCGTTTTTTGGATTTCCTTCCCTTCTCTCGGTCTCCTGCGATCCCTTCGAGAAATAACGAACGCGCGTAATACTGCGGGAGGCCAACCGCTTTGCAGACTGCGGGCTGAAGCTTCGTGCGGATGTGCAGGAGCTGCGTGTAGAGCAATCCAAAGTGCCGAATCGCCTCCCCGGTGAGTTTGCCACGCTCGGCAGCCTCCCCTGCGTCATCTGCGCGAGGGGGAAAGGCACTCCCATCCTTTAATCTCGCATCCCC